CCCCCCCTCTCAGTCATGTCGGTGTCGCCCGCCCTCCCTGACCTCTCTCGTCTCTATCAGACTGAGTTTGTTCGCAGTGCCCGAGCAGTCGGTGTCCTCTGGGCCATCTGCACGCTCTGCTTCGCCATCATCCAGGTGGTCGTCCTGGTGCAGCCCTCCTGGATCGGCACTGCTGAAACCCGGCACCAGGGGGCGCCCAGCGGCACCCTGGGACTGTTTGAGGTGGGAGGAGACGCAGGAAGAAACAGACTGGTCCTTTAAACTGTGGACCTGATGACACTTTGAATGTTTCATACACACATGATTGATCACCTGTAACCTTCACATGTTTCTTTCCCTGTATGTCTGTGTCCCTGTATGTCCCTATCTGTTGGACCGTCTGTGTCCCCTTATGTCCTTGTGTCTCTGTTGTCAGGTGTGTGTGGAGTCGGACTGGCCGGTCCCAGACTGTCGTGGCCGTCTGTCCAGCCTGTCTCCTCTACCGTCCTTCCAGTCGGTGGCAGTGTTGGTGGGCGTGTCCCTGTGGGCCGTGTGGACCAGTGTCCTCTGTCTCTGTCTCTTCCGATTCTGCAGTGCTGCAACCGTCTACAAGATCTGTGCCTGGCTGCAGCTCACAGCTGGTCAGTCCCTCCTCCTGGTTCTGAGTATCTGTGGCAAAGACTTCTGGGAGCTGTAGTTTAGTGAAGAACATGATCTGTGGTTAAAAATTTCTTATCCACGTTTGTCACAGTGAGGACAGAATAATGAGGACACATGAGAGACAGACATTAACTAACACCTGTACCTATCTGTTTCTCTGCCTGTTTGTCTCCCACTTTAAATCTGTCTCTCGCTGTGTCTGAATGTCTCTCCCTGTCCGTCTGTGTCCCAGGATTCTGTCTGGCGTTGGCCTGTCTTCTGTTTCCAGACTCGTGGGAGAGTCCAGAGATGAGATCTCTGTGTGGAGACTCAGTGAGTCTCAGCACTGATCAGTGTTGAAACATGTATTGATCATAGTTAGAGTCTTTTTAATGTTTCATTTTCACATAGAAACAATCAAATAAAACTAAATGGTCAATAAATATGTCCTCAGTGGTCGATCCATTCGATCCTGTATTGGTCTTGTGTCTCCAGGTGGGCAGTTTCTCTCCAGGTAACTGTTCCGTCCACTGGGCCTACATCCTCGCCATCCTGGGAGTTCTGGACGCCGCTATCTTGGCCATGCTAGCGTTCGTCCTTGCCAACAGGCAGGACGCCCTGTTGCCACCAGACGCCAAGGACGGTGAGCGGGGGTACCAGCAAGGGGCGGGGCTTAATGTTTACTGCACTGACACACCTGTGCCTCCAGTTCCTTAGTAACAGCGTGTTTGTTTACAGTGACCACAGGCCTGCTGATGTCAGCGTGATGTCATCAGGTGAGACTCTTCTTCCTCGGCTGTCGTTTTATCTTCACACAAACCTTGATTTATTTTCCGTCTTTTTCTTCTTCGTCTTCTTCTTTAGGTCGTCAGTTCTCCTCCTGATCCCTCCATCATTATCGTCTCCTGGATATCACCTCCACCTTCTGTTGTCACAGTTATGAAAGGGGGGGGGGGGGGGGTCTGTGAACCTCACCTGCTCATGTCATGTGTGGGTGGAGTCAGACAGAGAGGAGGAGGAGCCTAAACATGGCAGCCTGGTAATGAAGCCACAAACAAAAACGTGTTGACGTCAGAGTCAGTCTGCGTTTAAACCGAGTTGTATTCACGTGTTTGTGATGAGAGGGAAACACCTGCTAATGCTAAGCTAACTGATGTCATCAGAATCATTTGAGGGGTGTTTAAAACGGTCTGATGACTGTTCTTCATGTCTTCTCTTTGTAGCATCCGATACTAGCGAGCTAATGTTAGCTTGGCTCAGTTAGTACTCCTGAACCTTGAACGAATAGTCTGACGTAGTAATTCCTCCTGTTGTTTGTTTCTGAGTCGCATGTTTCTGCTGAATCAGTTAAATCTCTGTTTAGCTTAGTTTAGCACAATATTTTGAAGCAGGGGCAACTGTTAGCCTCTAACAGCGGTACAGTGTTATACTGAATGTTTCAAACAGTCAGTGCATCCAATAGAACATCTGATATAAAGGCTGAGTCGTGTTCACTAGCAGCTAATAGCTGCCAGTCAAACTTTACTGATTGTTAGCATTAGCTTTATCATTAGAGGTAAGAGCCACCCTGGCGAAGATCATAAAACGGAGATGGCTACTCCGTATATCAACAGTAGTGACAGCTTTAGTTTTTACTGTTTAATAGTCACGTACATAAAGTCTATCAGCTCGGGTTAATTGGGTGTCACGTCATTCTGAGGGCCGAGCTCCGAGGTGTTTGGCATTAGCTTCAGAGCCAGTGAGTTTAGCGTTTGCCTCTGGGTTCATTTTGCATAGCATAGCATAGCTAACTTGACTTCCAGTTAACCTCTGGGGCCACTTAGCTTAGAATTATTTTACAATCCAGTTACAACCCTGGGTCTAGTTAGCATAGCATTAGCTTCAGGATCAGCTAGCTTGTTGGGGGTTACCTCCTGACTATCCTATTATGTGATGAACTGTGCTAAGCAATGCTAAGCTCAGAGATGAAACTGGCCTGATGATGTGACTCTAGAGAAAACAGAGTGTGACATGACTTTCCTAAAATGTTCGCTTGACCTTTAACCTTTAAAGCACATGAAGACCGTGCTCAGTTCCTTTCACTGAGTTTTCCAGGCTGAGCAGCTGTTTGTGGTTTTATTTCGTTTTCAGAGCTCGATCAGTGTCGACTCTGATCAAGTTCATGTGATAATCGTGTTTGTGAGAAAACTTTTCTTTAAATAAACAAATTGGAAACGTTTCTCTTTCAGTTTCATTAACAACAAAGTGTCCGTTGATCAGTCGAGTGACTTTTTAAAGTTTCAGGTGAACAATAAATCATCCTTCGATCGACGATGACGAGTGAAACTTGCAGCTCTGTCTTCTGCCCTGATCCTCCTCCAGTCACAACATGGTCTGTGACCAGTTTGAATGATTGAGTCATGTTTTGTACAGGTGCCTGTGTTTAGGTTGTATACTCGTGTGTACATACGTATGTAAATAAGAGCAGAGAGAGAAGAGACGTGAGCGTTTGTGGTGACACTGACTTTATTTAATCAGATTATTTTAACCACATACACACGAGTGATCACATGACAGAGCTGTTGCACACAAGCTGGAGTACATGAACACAACAACCAATGACAGAGCCGTTGCCTTGGTTACCATCATTGTCCATCATCTGTCTGTGTTTTCCAGGGACACACAGATGACGAATGGACATCTGGGTGGGGTCAATTACAACTCCCAGAGGGCATTGCTGATCTGTGAAACTGCTGTGAACTACATTTCCCATGTTCCACCACAGACTGAGGCCTGATTCATCACGTGGGAAATCATCTGATACTTTACTTTAAATTAAAAGTAAATTCTTGACAGTTTGTTTTACATTTTTCAGTGACCGAAGGAAAAATCGGACTGTTTATGTTTAACTCTTAAAATCGTGGTTCGCAGCTACATGATGATGATGTCACAACTCTGACCTCAGCTGTTTCCAGGAAAACGTTGAGGAAACAATAGATCAACAGGAGCATAGGTCATGACCTCTGAGTAATCACTCGTCAAGGTCACATTTATCACCCCCACCCCTTCCTTTAACAACGAACGACTGATCAGATTTATTTTTACCTAAAGCAGCAAAAATATTTTTTACATAAACTGAAAATTACAAACGTAAAGAATGACACAATACCTCCTCTCCTCCTCCACTCCTCTCCTCCTCTCATTCCCCCATGTACTTCACAATCTGATCAATCAATATTTGGGGGTCATAATTCAGGGCGGCTCTTCTCCGGCGCCTATGAATCCCATGATTCAGTTCTTCCACTGCTGCGGTTGCCATGGTATCAATGCGTTTCATCCTCTGCAGCCCAGCAGCGAGGGGATGGAGATTATCCTCCTCCTCCTCTTCCTCCAGCCTCTTCACCCTGAGGAGTGGGGGGTCATTGCTAGGTGACGGAGGTGTCATGTCGTCAAGGGAACGGCGAGTTCTCCTATGGGCGGAGCTAATGGGTTCGACTGCGGCGACAGACAGGTCTCTCCTCGCTCTGCGACCTGAGGAGTTCACCGGGGTGTTGTTAGGGCCGATGCTGGACAGTATCCTAGCAACCATCCGTCTGAGAAAGAGGAGACAAGCGGAATCAGCGTTTGAGTGAATATTTTATGATTAAAGTTTTTCTCCTGATTTAAATATAAAAACTTTCTGTTCCTTTTAATGATTTAAAATGTCTTGAATGTAACAGGACACTTTTGTCCATAGATCAATGAATAAGTACATGAGAACCTCTGTTTTGACAATGTTATCAAATAGCTGTGACTTAGCTAACTTAGCTTGTAAAGCTAAGCTAATATTGTCTTGCTAACGGTAGTGTATGAAATGTAACAATCCAAACAAAAACTGTGCTGAAAAAAAAATCGAATTAGTAAAGTCATGTGACTGTTACGAAAGTGAAAGTAAAGGTTAGAGTAGATTCAGCTGATTGACTGATATATCACCTCAGAGTGTCCTGGTCTCGGTTTAGTCCTCGTCCTGTCTGTTGGAGTTTCTCCTGTCTCGCTCTCTCCAGCAGGGTCTGAACCAGCTGAGGCTCCATCCTGTCCATCACAACGACACTTATTGATCATCTTATTATTGATCATCGAATTATTGATCATCTCTAACTCTGACAAGTCTCTCCTCACCTGTCCAACAAGGTCTGAGCCAGCTGGGGCTCCAGGAGGCCCCACCATGCAGTTGGGGGCCTCCCCATGCTCATACCCCGTCCTGTCTCATCATAGTCTGCGGGGACCGGGCCCTGGAAGTCCCCAGGGGGCCCCTGATCCTCCTCATCCTCCTCCTCAACAACCGCCACGTCTTGCGGGCCGACCAATCCCACACTCTCTGCCTCGTTCAGGAGGCGTAGCAGAGCGGCCAGGTAGGCTGAGGAGACGCGTGATTGGTTAATTATGTTATTAATATTATCAATGATAAAATGTCGACAAAGTTTATATTATAAATATATTCTCTGTATATACAAAAGTGTAACTAGAGTGAAGTGAAAATTCTTTAACCTGCTCGCTGCTCCTCTTCCTGTTCCCGCCTCTGGTCTCTCTCCACCAGTCGCTGCAGGGCCTGGTTCAAGCCCCTCCCCCTCCAGTCATCTGATTGGTAGTACAGGTCGTTGGCCCCTCCTCCTCCTTGTATGGCAGGATATGACATAATTTGCTCCTCATAGGGCAGCAGGGCTCTGCGCTGGCGTCTGACTCCGCCCACCGACACGTCCAGGTCCCGTCCCCCTCCATGAGCTGCAGGTAGAGACTGAGAGAAGAGGTCAGAGGTCACAGTGATCAACTACTGTTCATAGTGTGAGTCCGTGTGTGTGTGTGTGTGTGGGGCAGGGTCCAGGGAGATGTGCTGTTGCCATGGCAGCGTAACGAGCCTCCACTCATGTGATTGGTCCTGACAGTGTGTGTTGGTGGACTCGTCGAGTTGTTGCTCAGAGTAACTTATTCACTAATAACTGTTTCAGGGCGCCAGCAGCTTAGAAATGGACTCAGCAGGTTAAGCAATGACTCAGCAGTTTGGTCAGTGACTCTGCAGTTTAAACAGTGACTCAACAATTCGAACAATGACTCAGGACTTCAGAGTCTCTGGATCAATGATGTAAGTCATTACCCTGCAGATTATAAACTGCTGTGTCATGGTCTCCTCTGTGGCCGCGGCCGTTCATCAGATGAGAAATGAAGCAGGTTTTTTATTTTCTGTTGTTTGTCTGGATAAACTGAAACTGAGGCCCTGAGCTCAGACTGAGATTTATGACTTTAATATCTCACAGACGCAGCAGCTCAGGGTTTATGATGTGGAGCTCGTTGCATCTGAGGCACCAGCAGCTGATAATGAGGAGGAGGAGGAGGAGGAGGAAGAGGAGGAGGAGGAGGAGGAGGAGGAGGAGGCCATAATGAGTCTGCAGAGCATCACTGTCTGTCACTGCTGGAGTCAGATTTTTCCTGCAGGGATCAGATCATGTGTAGCTACAGTCCATAGAAATATAAACTTATTCACCTTTAAAATCCTGGTTCAGGAAGGATGGAGGACTTTATGGATAAATACTGGAATCATAGTATTATAAGGTTTTTTCCCATTGTCATGTCTTTTCTGACTCTGGGTCACAGTAACTGGAATGAGGCCTGTTTCACAAATAAACGTATTCTAAATATTATAATCTGTTTCCCATTTGAACTCCTGTAATAATGATGTGATATGATTTCAGACTCCCTTAAAGGGGATCTTACCATTTCTTAACCTTTATTAGTGGAACATCTCATTTGCCCGTCCTTAGCTTATTAGCTTGTTTAATACTTAACTTTCATATCTTTGCATTTCTGAATCAGGTTTTCTGAAGAGGCTACAGCTGAACGCTAACAACACGCCGACACTTCCTACACACAATGGAAGCAATTGACCAATCAGGGCAGACTGGGTGGTGTTTCAGACAGAGGCTGAAAAGAGGAGCTGCAGCGATGGATGAAGAAAGTAAAGTGTAAACATTTTACAGTAATAATATCAACATGGACCTGAACAGAATGTGTCTCCTTTGACGTTGGTGATGGTGTGTGGGGCTAACATTTGTGGTGATGGTGTCTGGTTCTAGCAGAGAAGTGTGTGTGTGTTTAAAACAAACTGACTTCCTGTCTGATTCTGTGAGGACGTGATGTGGAGGAGATGTTGTTCTCAAACATCGTCTGCCTCAGAGACTCTGTTATTCAGTATAGTTGTTGCTCTTCATTTAGTAAATGTACTGGATTACTTAAGTACTTGTTCTTTATCCAAAGTACTTTATACTCACAGCTGATTAAGATCACACCTTTAGTGCATCACATGTTTCTGTGTTATTTTACTGGCTGATATTTAAAACATATTTATAATAAAACATGATGCAGTGATACAGATGTGTTCAATGTCCCACGTCGAGTCTTTAACTGTAACCTCTTTAATATGTGACGCTGTTGCTGTGGGTTACTCTCTCCTGTCGCTATGGTGACTGCTACTGAAATGAAATGTTCCATCTAGAGGTAATGTGCCCCCACCACCACCACGCACACACACACACACACACACACACACACACACACACACACATGCACAAAGGTTTTGAACACAAACAAGCCGCAGTCTTCCATCAGTGTCTGTTTCTCTCTTCACAAATTCTGCCGATCAATAACTAATATGTCAAATTGAAAGCAGAATACACACACACACACACACACACACACACACACTGTGATGTAACAGACAGGTAGAGGATAAACAGCAGCAGCATCATTCTGCATCCCGATCATGTTACCGTGATGACACAGCAATGTTACCATTAATTAACACATATGAAACATGTAAACATCCTCTCTCGCTCTCTCTCTCTCTCTCTTTCTCTATATATATATAAACATACAGTGACTGTAACTCGTCCTTACCTGGGCGGTGTGGATGAGAGCGGTGCTGAGCAGCAGGAGGCTGAGAGACGCCATGCTACTGACTGAACACACACATACACACACACACACACTGACGGCGATCATAAACACTCATCTGATAACAGAGAGAGAGAGGGAGGGAGAGAGAGAGGGAGGAGGGAGGAGTGATGACTAAGGAGAGGAGGTGAGAAGCAGTAAACAGATGAGGAGAGGGAGGAGCTTTGAGGAGAGAGGAAGATGGAGGACAGGAGTGGGTTGAAGATGGAGGGTGGGGCTATGGGGTGAGGGAGGAGGTGGAAAATGAGGATGAAGAGGGTGAAAGGAAGAGGGAAGGAGGAGAACAAGAGGAGAGAAAGAGGATTTAAACTTGAGTTCCATACAGTTCATACAGTGTTAAAGTAACTCACTCACTCAGAGTATTTTCCTCTGACATCAATCATTCATTCATTCACCCGGTTGTTTATAAGATCTATCTGTTTATTACACTTATTCATTTGCTCATCTTTTTAATCATGTTGTCATTCAGACGTTAATTTGCAATTGATTAATTCAGTCACTCACTGATGATTCACTCATCTGTTTATTTATTCATTAGTTCTTATATTCACGTGTTTTCATCCTGTCACTTATTTCTTCCTCCGTCCATTCGTCCACAGATCAGTTTACCATTCCTCTTTAAATTCATTCATTCACTCCTTCATCCTCCTCCTCATGTTACCAACAGACACAGAATCAGAGACGAGTTTGTCGTTTATTGAAATTTTCCACTGAATAAACACAAGAGGGGGAGGTGCTTGGGGTCTCCATAGCAACAAGTCACACATACATCATCATCAACACTGACAAAACTGTCGTCATGGTTACTGATGCAGAATATCATCACACAGGAAGTTACGTCACAGAGGCAGAGAGGAGAGTCACGAAGAATGACAAGAAGAGCGAGAGAGAGGGAGACGAAGAGGGAAGAATGAAAAAAGAAAAGACTGAAAAGAAAATTAATAAATAAAAAGATGAAGAGATGATGGAAAGAAAAAGAGAAAGTGAGAGTGATAGAAAATATATGGACAGGTAACACACACACACACACACACACACACACACCTGTACAGGAGAACAGGAAGTAGAATCACGCCGACCATCACTCACTGAACTACACAGGAAACACGTCACCATGCGGAGGAAGATACCGACGCCAAAACAGCTTCACTTCCAGAAAAACAACCAAAGAAGAAGCATCATGTTTTTTTTATCCTTTTTTCAGACTTTTACAAAAACAACTCACGGCTTCTGCTGATTGGCTGAGAGCCGCGGGGAAGACAAACATCGCGTCCATCCACTGACAGAAACATCCGTCTGAAAACTGTGACATCTATCTTCGCTTTTTGTAGAAGTAGAGTTAGCCGTGTGCAGCTACTAAACAGGCTAGCTAGCTAAAATAACGTGACATAAACCAATAATAAGACGTATTTTCGGGTTTTGGTTTGTGAAATACTTCCTCTGTTGTGTCTGTACTGATAAAAAGCTTTAGTTTACAAACTTCACATTTTATTTTCAGATCAACGTTTTCATCACGTGACGCTGCTGAACAAGACGCCTCTAAAATGGCCACAGAAACGTGAGCACATGTTTTTACCACTAACGTTGAAATCTGTTTCATATTTTCATGCTGAAGTGACACAAAGTGCAGTAGAAACCGGTCGAGTCGTTGACACTGGGCTGAGTGAAAATAATTCAGACGGGTGTTTCTGCAGCTCCGCGTCCTCACAGCTGATCGGAGATAATCTGATCTGAGAGCAGCCGCAGGAGTGTAACAGCAGAACGAAGCTCCAGCTGAGCCCGTTACTCAAACACACAATCTGTGGAAACTGGAGTGATGAGGAGCCATGTTGGATCCAGATTTTACTCGGAGTCACCTCGAAGCTGAAGTCCAGACTGAGTTTACTGCGTCTCCAGAACAACATCACTTCCTGTGTTGATAGTTACATGCAGCAAGACAAACAGCAAACAGCTGGGAGGTGATGCTGGCAGACGCAGCGTTGACAGGTTTGAACTGGTTCTCATTTTGGTTCAACTCTGGTTTGAATCTGGTTTGGATCAGCTCAGTGTGAACCCAGTCTGAACAGCTTCGTGATTTGCCGAAGTGGATCTGGTTTGTTGATGTTGGGGCAGGGCATACAACAGGGGGCGGGGCAGACCCTTGGGTTCAATAGGAAACATGAAGAAACAGTTGAGTTTATATTATATATCTGTTCAAAGTGATATCTATACAACACAAACATACATTCTCTCCACTGACTCTAATATGAATTGAACTCGGCCACATGATCAGAAGCTATTTGTTGTTGTTGTCGTGCTTTTTTCAAGTCGTGGATTTGTTATTTATAACTCTCGTTTTATTCATTTACACATCGACTCATTATATTGAACATCTAAGCTCCCCCACCCTCAACCTCCCGCCCCTCCCCCTCCCTCACCCCGCCCCTTATTCTTTGCAGACAGACAGGAGTGTTGCATTGTGGGTAGGTTGCAGGCGACCCACTCTTTGTTCACTCCGACGCCTCCTGTGGAGGAAAAACAAACATAAACAAAACAGGAGGAAACGTGAGAGGCGTTTGTTGGGGACTATTTTCAGCAGCGGATGATTCTAGGTTTGGGACTCACCTGCTTCCTGTCAGTTCACATCTGGTTAGAGAAGGAGGTGGGCGCCCCCTGCTGGCCATAACCTTGACCATATTCTGCATCCTGGAGGAGACACAGCAGCAAACAACATGATACACAGAGACAACAGAATACTGCATCACTTAGAGTACTGCATCAACTTTACTTACAGTATATGTATTTAGAGTAGTGCAGTACAATTACTTAAGACTACGAAATTACATGTACACATAGTAATGCAGTTTATTCACTCAGAGTACTGAAGTACATGCACTCAGTAGTGCAGTAGATGTACTCAGAGCACTGCAGTTGTGTAGTGTTATTGATTAGCAGCAGATCAGATCATCACCTGGTTGTATCCCTGCTGGTTGTAGTCGGGTTGGTATCCTCCCTGGTTGCTGGCGTACGGGTCTTGTTCATATGCCCCCTGCTGGCCATAGGCTTCTGGCGCAGCAGGTTTTTCCTGAGGAGGAGGAGGAGGCCGCATGAAGGGAGCGATGATGCCCGTCTCCTTAAAGACGAACCAGAGGTTTCCGGCCCACAGAACCAGGTTGATGAAACCAAAAGCCTGAAGCAAAAGAGGATGAAGGTTTCTCGTTGGACACTGATGGGTAACGTAGAATCTATGATTTACTGCTGAACTCTGATTTAAACCATCATTTCTCTCACTGTCATGAGAAGAAATGCAGCAACTCAAAAAAACATGATGCTGTAACCGTGGAAACAAGATTTCGAGGTCGTTTGTATAAATAAGAACTTATAAGAAGTTATTGTAGAAAAACACAGATTAGTGGAACTCTGACGTGACGCTGCGATCCCTCCAGTCTTACCACAGAGGTGTTGAGTCCAGACATGACCGGGTCATGAACTTCACGACAGCTGTTCCCCTCGTCATCGCAGGCTTTGATCAGAGTGATCACATTGTCCGGATCTGTCGCTGTCTTCACGTCGGACAGACCTTTGGCCCAGGCCGCCGAGCTCACCAGCCACATGAAGGCGAACACTCCGGTTATTCCGAGGTCCTGAAACACAGTGTGTGAGTGACTGGTCCCACAGCTCACCTGTCACTGGGCGGTTGGTCATGTGGGTGAACTTACCATCAGAGGGCCTTTTTTGTTCTCCTTGTACTTTTCAAAAAAGAAGACGTAGACGCTGAGAGCGGCCATGGAGTAGAGGAACGCGAATACGCCGATGGTGACAAAGAATTCGGCAGAGGAAGAGTAGTCACCGACCAGGAAGAGATGCTCCTTGTTTCCGTCCTTACAGGTGGGGGCTTCAAAATTCACCTGGTGAAGTCTGACAGAGGAAGAACATTAGAACCCTGCAGGGTTTGACTGGAGTTCTGTCAAGTCGACCAATCAACAGCACGTGTGTTAAAATATTGAACTACGTGGTCAGGGTAAAAAGACCAGCTGTCACCATGGTTACAACAACTGCATAACTACCTGAGAGTAACTGAAGTCAGTGCTTCACCTCAGATTAACTACGTCAGGTTCAGGTCAGTTTCAGACAGAAACACGTGACCTGATTTTTAATCACCAGAGCTTCCCATATCGTCGGTTTGAATCCCTGTGTGTGTTCACTGTGACTGTTCACGCTCTGCATCATGTGACACGTCACAGTCGAGGTAACGTGTGATGAACTGACCTGAACGGATACTCAAACTCCACCTCGATACTCAGGTTGCTGTCTGTTCGGTTCTTACACTCCACCGACATCCGGAACATCCCAGAATAACTGCCGCAGGTGGAGAAGGCAAAGATGGCAAAGAACTGGGGGGGGGGGGGAATTTGAGATTTTTAAAAAATGTTTTCAGAACACTTTGAGATTATACTGAGAATAATATGAAACATTCTGAGAACTCACCCACTGTAAGATCTTAATGAAACCCAGAGGAACCTTCAGCACCCTGAACTGGCCCTGGGCCACCATCTGAGGACACACACACACACACACACACACACACACACACACACACACACACACACACACACACCATCATCATCATTATCATCATCACCATCATCTTCATCATCACCACCATCATCAGCATCAGCATCATCATCATCATCATCATCATCAACATCATCATCTTCATCATCATCACCATCATCATCTTCATCATCATCATCATCATCATCTTCATCATCAACATCATCATCATCATCATCTTCATCATCATCAACATCATCA